GGAGTGCTTACCTTCGCAGATGGAACAGCCTTGAGGCATCCAAGGGGGGTCTGCCAAAGCTCCTGGAACAATGGAATTCCAAGAGAAGCTAACTTTGGTGCAAAGAAATAGCTTGAAGCTTGTGCGATTTTTTCACAATATGGTTTTTTTGTGGACGTTTGAAGACCTCTCCTGTGCATGGATTTCAAAATTATTTTCTGTGCCAAAATAAAACATCTTTAATTCCGTTTTCCTCTTGTACTTGACTCTGGGGATGTCTACAGCACTCTTGCCTAGCTCGGCTTCTTACCCCCACCCCCAGGGTTCCCTTGTGCTGAGAGCCACATGGGTGAACCTAAATGAAAATGCCCTGTTCTGTTTGTTGGACTGTGTTTGTGTACACGTGTGTGTTGGAGCATTATGTGGGAGTGGCCGTGTTTGATGGCATGCCTGTCTGCATGCTGGCTGCTATTGGAATGTGGCTGTGAAAGCATGTGGGTGTCAGGGTGGCTGACTTAGGGATCCCTCATGTGTGGGGCCGCTCAAGGAATACGTGTGTCCACACCAGTACCAAGGAGGGGTACTGTGGGGGCAGCTGAGGGGGAGACCAGGCGCACTCTGGAGATCTCAACCTTGAAAATGCATTTCAATTACAATTTACAACCTCCAGACAAAGGCTGCAGGGCTCTGATGGGGAAAATCCGCCGGATCCATCCCTGGCCGGCTGTCAGCCGTGGCCGAGGTAAACGTGTCTCCATCTCTTCGAGCCCCGGGACACAATTAGGACATCTCTACACTGTTGCTGCTGTCACCAGCATCGTGCGTCTGGAATTTATGTCTTCCAGCAGCTGCCCGCCTGTGTGTCTCATCTCCTCCAGGAACCGGGGTGGCCCTGCCTGGGCCTGGGGGTCCTCCTCTCCCATGAGAGCAGATAAACTGACCCCCTTCCCGCCTTTGCTGCTCACCTCCCCCCGACCCTCAGCCAGGGCACCCGTCACCCGAGTGGCTCTGGACAGCTGAGGTCAGGGGCACCAAGAAGGGGGTGGGAGAGGCAGGTCAGGGCTACATGGAAGATGGGGTGGTCATTCTGCTGAATAGTGGGCATGGACTGAACCCGCACCAGGAGCCTGGGTTGCCGTGGGGTTCCGCCTCCCTCAGCCCCTGTAAAACCCAGGAGAGGTCAGGGAGATTGTCTCAGAGCTGTGGCAGGCAAGGGGCCAGCACGTAAGGGCAAGTGAGCTACGGCTGGGGGCCACCTGCTGAGGAGCCAGGCTCTGGCACAGCTAAGCTTAGGCTCATCCAGGCCTGGGCAACGCTGTGGGTGCTCAGGATGGACTAGCTTGTCTTCTTTTTCTTCTTCTTTTTAAAATATTTATTAATTTTCATTGGAAAATCAGATATACAGAGAGCAAGAGAAACAGAAAGGAAGATCTTCCATCCAATGGTTCACTCCTTAAGTGGCCACAATGGCCAGAACTCAGCCAATCTGAAGCCAGGAGCGTCTTCCAGGTCTCCCACGTGGGTACAGGGCCCCAAGGCTTTGGACCATCCTCGACTGCTTTCCCAAGCCACAAGCAGGGAGCTGGATGGGAAGCAGGGCCATCAGGATAAGAACCGGTGGCACCCATATGGGATTCCAGTGCATGCAAGGTGAGGACTTTAGCTGCAAGGCTATCATGCCAGGCCCGACTAGCTTGTCTTCTCAGACCACATCTCTTACTCCTACTGACGCCTGCCCACAGACACGCACTGTGTCCTGTCTGCTGTCTCCTGTAGGACACAGGGAGGTTTGTGGGCCTCAAGTCCAAGATAGGGTTTATGTGTGTTGGGTATGCATGTAGTGTGGGTCGGATACCTGTGGTGTGTATGTGTGTGGTGTATGTTGTATGCATGTGGTGTGTGTAGTGTGTTGTATACATGTGGTATGTATATAGTGTGCTGTATATGTGTGTACATTGTGTATGTGTGTTTTGTGTTGCATACGCGTGTGGAGGAACGTTGTGAATATGAAGTATGAGTGTTGAATGTGTTGTATACGTGTGAAGTGCCTGTTGTATGGGGTTGTGTGCTGTGCGTGTGTGGAGTGCGAGATGTGTGTGTGTATTATGTAAGTGAGGTGTCTTGTGTAGATCTGGAATGTTGAGGTGTGTGGGGTATGTATGTGTGTGGGTGTGTGTTATATGTGTGAAGTACATGTGGATGTGCATGGGGGTTATGTGTTGCATGTATGCACACATGGTGTGTTTGAGGTGTGTTATATATGTGGAATATGTGCATGTCACATGCTTTCTGTATGTGTGGAGTTGTGTGTGAGATATGCATGTTATGTATGTTTGTGTATGTGTGTGTTGTATATGTGAATGCATCTTGTGTCTATCAAGGTATGTATGTTTTATGTGTGAGTGTGTTGCATGTGCATATCATATGCTTTGTGTAGGTAAGGAGTTGTGTATGTGGGGTACGCATGCGTTGTGTATGTGGCGTGTGTGTGTGTATGTGGTGTGTGTGTGTAGGAGGCATAATCAGAGCCTGGCTGTCCTTCCCCAGGTCTGCTCCTTGAGCCCCCGTTTTCTCACCTGTAGTGGATTAAGCTGAGGCAAAGTTCTAGAGGCTAGAGAGGTTGATGGGTGCCTGGAAGTCCCTGGCCACCCTGCAGTAGCATACAAGGTACAGTTTGGGGGACAGGGCTCAAGGTGCCCAGGCCCCTGGAGTGCTTCTCCCAGGAGCATCTCCAGGTGGGTTTGGGCCTCCCTGGTGAGGATGCTCCATGGGACACTCCTGCTCTAGTGTGTGCACTCACTGGGTGCACTTGGCCCTGGGCCCAGTGTTGGGGTATGACTGCCTCAGCCACAGCTGTGAGGAGGGACCCAGGGAAGCCAGGGGAGGAGAAGCTGAGGCTGTCTGTGTCCCCAGAAATGCCTCTGACATCCAGAGATGTCCTTGGCCTTGGAGAGGGCTGCCTCTTGTTTGAGTGGCTGTGCCTCCCCTCCATCTCTGCTTAGTAATTTAGCATCTCCCCCATGGAAGACAAGGGTGTAATAAGGCTGCAGGCGAGTCAGATGGCAGGGCCAGGGAGTGCAGTAGTGTGAGGGTACAGTCAGTGTTGACAGTGAGCTGGGCCCTGGCTCCAGAAGAGATAGCCCAGGCTTCCTGCCCCAGCCCTCTCTGGCTGTCTCCTGGGTTTCTGTGCCAGCTTATAGAGGCCTTGGCTGAGCAGGCAGGATGGGGAAACTGGATGCTGAGCCGCTTCCATTTATCCGGCCCTGGCCTCACCCTACAAAGCCACTGTTGACAATGTAAGGCTCTGCTTGTGTAGGGCCTCGACCAACCGTAGTCTGAGATGGGGGCAGGGCTGGGGTCTGGAAGCTCAAGAAGCCTGGCCCGCTGTGTGTGGTGACCCGGGCCCTCCCTCTCCTCAGCCGTCATGTGGCGGTGGCAGCCAGGCCTGCCCCAGCATGCTGACACCACTCCCTGTTTCTGCCATGTACTCAGCAATGTGAGATTCCCACCCTGAGCTGGGTGGCAGGTCGAGCTGGCTGAGCAGGCCACAGCCTGGAGGGCTACTGTCTTCCCTGATATGGGAGGACAACGGGAGGCAGTGAGGCCCCTTGGGCTCTGGCTGCCTCTACGATGCTGCAGGCAGAGGCAGGCATGGAAATCTCTGAGCTCCCAGGGCAGCAGGGCTGATGCAGCCGGGGCTGGGTACAGGTGTAGTTATACAAGCTGTTGCAAGGTCTGCCTTGTAGGGATTGGTCATGACTTCTTAGCAGGGAGGCCCAGGCTGGTTGTGGGCCTTTCAGGGGTCCATGTCTTTGTTCTGGCCTTGAGGAAGGCAGTTGCAGTACAAGAACAGTGTGTACTGCAGTGGACTTTGGAGGGATGCTTGTTTTCCCTCTTCTTGCCCCCAGCCCATCCTCCTGCTCCTCCTATCCCTGCCCCCTCCTGTCCTTGTCTTCTTGGACTGGTGTGGGGCACAGACTTTGAGCCCAAATACTGGGCTTTAGATCTGCCGCATGCAGGCCTGGCACGTACCTTGGCTTTTCTATGCCATGGGGGTAATTTTATAGCATTTCTGTGAGAAGCAAAGCTTTAACAAGGAGCTTAACACAACGCCTGGCACCTGGCAGGTGCTCGGTGGAAGCGAGCAGCTCTTATTCACTGTATGATGTTGTTTTTTATGAGTGGGGGTGGGGGTGGGACAAGGCAGGAAGTCCCTCCCCGTCCTCCTGAACCCTTTTCCTGGCCTGCTGCAGCCAGAGAATCATTGCTGCCAGCTCGGAACCGCGGGAGTAATGGACCCGGACTGGCCGCCCCCTGTGCTAAGTGTTTTCTGTGCCTTGGTGCCTGGCCCTCACAGCGATCTGTCCTGCTTTATCTTTGAGGATGGATTATAAGCCGCTTTTCTCTGACGGCCAAGAGGTTGGCACAGGGCCCCAGAGCAGAGAGGCCGGTGGGCCTGGGGAGGCCTGATGGCCAGGGCTGCCTGTGCCGTGAGTGGGCGGTATGGCTGAGCTCAACGCTTGCTGCCAGGAGGGTTGTCACGAGGTAGGGGGGATGATTGTGGCTGCTGTCCAGGTGTCTGAAAACAGCCAGGGGGCAGCTGAAGCCAGTCTCTCAGCCCCTCTGGGCTTAGCATCCAAGGCTGTGGGCAGCATCCCGTGGCTGGAGTGGCCTCTGATGGGTGAGCTGTGTTGGAGATATCACCATGGTCGCTGGCACACCCAGCCCATCCTGGCTGCTTCCCAGCTGTGAGAGGGGGCACTGTTCACTTGTCACCCAGGGCTGGCTGGGGGAGGGCAACAGGTGCCACAGCCACAAGAGAGTTCTGCCCCTCCACATACACGCCAGGCCGCTGCTCTTGGAGGGTGACCAGTGCTTCCGTGGCAGGGGCAGGAGGGGAACACAGCCATTAGTGGCACAAGTGCCATTCCCCTAGGTGCCTTTAGTGGTTCACTCCCCGATGGGGTCACTGGGCCCCCAGGCAGGCTCTAGCTTCAGTGCACCCCATCCTTTGGTTCCAGACCGAGAGCGCATCGGGCAGGACTCGGCATATGAGCAGGAGGGGAAGGTACAGTTTGTGATCGATGCTGTGTACGCCATGGGCCATGCGCTGCACGCCATGCACCGTGACCTGTGTCCTGGCCGCGTGGGACTCTGCCCACGTATGGACCCTGTGGACGGCACCCAGCTGCTTAAGTACATCCGAAACGTCAACTTCTCAGGTGGGGGCATGGTGCTGGGCGCTGCCCTACCCTGGGCGTTGTGCACCAGGGGAAGGCATCTTGGAGCTCTGAGGGAGTTGGAGAGAGGGGAGCAAAATTTCCCGAAATGTGCTGATAGTGGGCAGGGGTCTCCCTGAAGTTGACCCTGAGCTTATAACATTCCCTGCCTCCTGGTAGAGGCTGAGACCCCTGCCTACCTCAACAGGCATTGCAGGGAACCCAGTGACCTTCAATGAGAACGGTGATGCCCCTGGACGCTATGACATCTACCAGTACCAGCTGCGCAATGGCTCGGCCGAGTACAAGGTCATCGGCTCCTGGACGGACCACTTGCACCTCCGAGTAAGCGGGAAGGGCAGGGGAGGTCCCTGGGCAGTCAAGACAATCGCTGGTACCCAACCCCTGGGCCGGGGACCAAGGGGGAGATGGCCACTGTTTAGGGTTACTGCTGCTACCACAGTGGCACTTCCTTCCCAGGGTCCCTCTCAGACTGGAGTATAAGAACGGGGCAGTGGGGCTCTGCCCATTCCATCTGCTGCCCACTTTCCTGTCTGGGGGCCTGCCCATTTCCTGCTGGGTGTGGAGCAGGAAGGGTTTGGGACAGATGAATTCACACCAGAGGGCACTGGCTCAAAGGCATGGTGAGTATACTGAAGGCAGGTTGTGGGCAGAGGCTACTTGAGACAGAGGATGAAGTATTGGGGCCCAGGGGGAGCCACATGCCTTGTGGCATTGGTGGGGGGCAGGAGCCATAAGCTATGAGCTGTGGTTGTCCTGGTGAGGCTTCCTTTCTGGCTGTCGGTTTCTCATAGTGTCAGCTGTTCATCCTCCAGAGACGTACCTGTAGACTGGGCCCTGGACATTCTAAAGGGGTACAGGGCTGAGGCAGGCTCAGGAGACCCCGGGCCTGCCTTTGGAGTCCTGGGGCAGATGCTTCTGCCATCACCTCTTCCAGCAGAAGGCCCCAAGCGTGTCAGAGCTTTCTCTGTTCTGACCCTGTTTAGCCTTGATCGGCATTTGGGATAGGAGGACAGCGAACCCTCTGAGTCATGGAAGTTCTTTGCCGTGCGGTGTGGTGGGACTGAGCTTGTGCCTGTCATGGGGCTTCTTGGCTCACCAAGTGGAAGGAGAGGAACAAGGCAGGCAGGAACACTGGACAAGGGTTGTCTGGTTTTGGTGCGGAGGGAGCGCACAGGGCCCATGACCAGAAGTCACCAGTAGCCCCAGCAGTTGACACTGAATCCCTGTTGTTTTCCCTCCGGAGCCTGAAACCCTCTGGCTGCCTGGGCACTGCCAGTCCTCCAGCCTCCACAGAGGTTTCCTGGACCTGTGCTCCAGGCCAGTCCTGTGTGCTGGGGGAGGGAGGATGTGAGCAACACAACCCCTCCCCATGAGCTGCTGTTCTGAGATGCACCGAGTCTGGGAGGTCAAGGTCAAGAGCATCCAGAGCTCACAGCAGCTGGAACTCCAGCTTTCCACACATCCACCCTTACCCCAAGTCCCCTGGGACACTCACAGTTCTAGGAACAGTACCTCTGGGCCATGTCCTTCCTGTAAGTGCCATCGGTTTCTAGGGTCATGTTTAGAGCCACAGGACAGCCTTGTTGGAGGCTTTTTTCCCTCTTCCCACTTTGTCCTAAGGCGGTACCTGGGTCCTCCTCCACCACCACCAGCTTTCCCCTTCCTTCAGCGCCACAGCCACCCGCTCCCTGACCAGTGGGTGGCGTCCACTACAGGAGTGGTGCTTGGCACCCACTGCCCATCTGGCTGGGGCTGCTGCTCTCGAAGAATGAAGTCGCCCTTCATTGAGAACAGCTGTTGTGAATGTGGCTCCCGAGTGCCGTAGGGCTCCTGTTGCCTACAGCCGGCAACGCTTTGGGGCCTCTTGCTTACTTTCTGGAATCTCCTAACTGATTCAGTAGTCCGTGACAGTCCTCCCATGGCCCCTTCGCTCATGGCCCTCATGGTCTTGAGGGCCTTGTAGCCGTGAGTAGCGTTGATTTAGAGCAGGGTGTAAAGAAACGCCAACCCCTGGGCACACGTTAAGCGTCCACTGATTAAGCTTTAGTTCATTCTCGCCGCTGCACACAGCTCCCCGGCCGCACGGCAGAAGCGCCATGGCTGAGCTGTAGGGCAGTGAATCTCGCTCAGATCACCCCAGGGAGGCAGCTTGTTGAAGCACATATTCCACGGTCGAGGTCTGGGGTGAGGCCAGAAGTGGCATTTGCTGGGCATTGTTGCTGCATTGAGTAGCAGAGACCTGTGGGGCTGGGAGTTGACACCTCTGGGTGCTTTCTGGGTTCTGTGTCTCCATGAACTTGGAGAGCTTTACATTCCATCGGAATCCTCCTGGGCCACTAGTGTCCTGCTCCCATGGAAGGGGGCTTGTTGAGTTCCAGCTGTGGGGTTTGGTGAGCCCTGGTGGGGTGTGCTCTTTCAGGCAGCTGCCTGGGGCTGAGGGGCACCCCAGCCCAGGGGTTGGTGCAAGCCCTGGGTGGTGCTATGTCCTGAGGCCTGTACCACCATACTGTCATTGCCAGATAGAGCGGATGCACTGGCCAGGGAGTGGGCGGCAAGTGCCACGCTCCATCTGCAGCCTGCCCTGCCAGCCAGGCGAGCGGAAGAAGACCGTGAAGGGCATGCCCTGCTGCTGGCACTGTGAGCCCTGCACGGGGTACCAGTACCAGGTGGACCGCTACACCTGTAAGACGTGTCCCTATGACATGCGACCCACGGAGAACCGCACAGGCTGCCGGCCCATTCCCATCATCAAGCTCGAGTGGGACTCTCCCTGGGCCGTGTTGCCCCTCTTCCTGGCCGTGGTGGGCATTGCTGCCACACTCTTCGTGGTGATCACCTTCGTGCGCTACAATGACACGCCCATCGTCAAGGCCTCGGGCCGCGAGCTGAGCTATGTGCTGCTGGCGGGCATCTTCCTGTGCTATGCCACCACCTTCCTCATGATCGCCGAGCCGGACCTGGGGACCTGTTCGCTGCGCCGGGTCTTCCTCGGCCTGGGTATGAGCATCAGTTACGCGGCCCTACTCACCAAGACCAACCGCATCTATCGCATCTTCGAGCAGGGCAAGCGGTCGGTCAGCGCCCCACGTTTCATCAGCCCCGCCTCGCAGCTGGCCATCACCTTCAGCCTCATCTCCTTGCAGCTGCTGGGCATCTGTGTGTGGTTTGTGGTGGACCCCTCGCACTCAGTGGTGGACTTCCAGGACCAGCGGACGCTCGATCCCCGCTTTGCCCGGGGAGTGCTCAAGTGCGACATCTCGGACCTGTCGCTCATCTGCCTGCTGGGCTACAGCATGCTGCTCATGGTCACGTGCACCGTGTACGCCATCAAGACCCGAGGCGTGCCCGAGACCTTCAACGAGGCCAAGCCCATTGGCTTCACCATGTATACCACCTGCATCGTGTGGCTGGCCTTCATTCCCATTTTCTTCGGCACCTCACAGTCGGCAGACAAGGTGAGCGGGGGGAGCCAGGGGCAAGGCGGTGCCAGTGTGCCCAGGGTGGTTCCTTGAGGTTTTATCTGCTCCACCTTCTCTCTGGGGCTGCAGGTTTCCCCTGGGTCCTGGGATTTCACTCCCCCTGTCTCTTCACGTCCCCTCCCCACATCTTGTTTCCCTCTCTCTCCTTCTCCTGGGTCCCCTCTCCCGATGGTCCCTCTTTCCCTCCCGCTTGCTGCTGTCCTTGCCCGTTCTCCCTCCTTTCCTCTGTCTTGTTGGCCTGGGAAGCTGCACCCCCCACCGCCCTCCATTCCTTTCTGGGCTCTCCTTGTCCCCTCCTCTCCTTACTCAGCCCCGTCTCCCACGTGGTCCATTATCCTCTCCATCCTCTTTCGTGTGCCCTTTGCAGAGCTCCATGGATCCCCAAGGTATGAATCAGGTACAGCTCTTGCTCCCTGTCTCCTTTGCCCCATGCAGCTGGGAACCTCAAGTTCAGCTAGCCAAGAGCCTTCTGTTCTCAGCCACTTCTGCACCCGAGTGGTCTGGCGTGTGGATCTGGGCACCTTGCTCATGCCCAACCCTGGCACTGCAGCAGAAGTGGCCTGCAGTCAAGGCATTGTGGTGGCATTGGGACCCTAAATCCCAGTGACAGCTCTTTGTCTAACTGTGGGATCAGGCCAAACCACTGGCCTCCCTCGCCTTAGCTTCCGTCTGTAGCTTGGGGCTGAGACCCTGGCACCTAGTCAGGCCCTTGGAGTGTTGCAGTGGACACCTGGTGGAAGAGGAGAAGAAGTTCACCTGCTGTGAGGAAGATGGGGCTGAGAAAGCCAGCAGGTGCTGGGTGCGAGTCACAGAGAGCCAGATAGCATGGGACCCAGCTGGGGGCTGGCCTGGGTGCTGGCTTTCACGGGTGGGGAAGGAGGAAGAGAGCAGAGGAGACCTGACCTCGTGTGGGTTAAACAGGAGCCTTGGATGCTTGGTGAGCCCTGAGGAAGCTGAGGTGAGAGCAGGGAGACCGCTAGGCTAGGGAATGTGGCTGAAGCTGCAAGGCCGGGTGTGTTTAGAGGCACTGCTGGTGGCTCTGATGGAATGCACGTGGTAGGAGACTTGGAAGAGAGGCCAGGAAACCCCTTTGGTTTGGGGTCCTAGTGATGAGGAAGAAAGGAGGGATAACCTGAGAGGTGGGGTGTATGGAGGAAGGAGGCATGCTGAGCTGGGGGGCCCTGCACATGGTCCAGCACAGCTGTCACAGCAAAGAATGAGGGCTCGCTGCTGCAGCCTGTCCCTGGCAGCCCGTGGGGAATTTGGCGCCGTGAGCCAGGGAGTGAGCCCCAGGAGGTGGGGGCCTGTTGTGTGCTAGATACTACACCCAGGGGCCGCTGCCATCCCCACTTAAACGGTCACAGAGAGGTGGAATGACTTCCCTGAAATCAAACAGCTGGTCGGTGGTACTCTACTCCAGGAGCCCCCTGCTTCCAGCCCGCACCAGTCCCACAGCTGTGAATACCCTGCTGTCCTGGGCTCTCCCCAGCAGTCCCATTTCTGTTCCTGCAGCTCCTCTGGGGAAGCTGCTATGTCCTGCACTCTGAATCCATGGGCCGCAGCCAGGGAGATGTGTAGAACACCTTTCAGTGGCGGTCCTCAGGGCTGGGATCTGCAAGAAGCAGGCCTTAGGGTTGGCCTGAGGCCCTGTGGCAGTGACCCCCACCCTGCACCCCTGAGCCCAGCACCTGGTTGAGGGCAGGTCCCAGAGGGAATGGATCCTGCAGATAAGTGCCTTCCCCACCTCTGTCTCCACGTGGACCAGCCAGCGCACCTGTCCCTGCCCTGTCCCTACCCTGAGGTGCCACTGCACATATCTGACCAGAGATGACTCTTCAGAGGGCCCTACATGATGGCCACACAGCACAGCAGCCTGCACCAGCTCCATCCAGGGCTGTGTGACATGGACAGACCTATCCCTCCTGCCGCTGAGCCTCTGAAGGGGGTTGCGGGGTGGGATGGTGGGTGGTACCCACAGGTGGTGTACCTGTGGGTACCAGCCATCAGGCTTCAGCGGGGGATTGCCCACGACCGAGCCAGGTCAGGGCTTCGAGCAACCAGTGCAGGCTGCAGGACCGGTCACTGCATGGGGAGAAGAGGGGTGTTTGTGCTACTGTCAGGAGCTAGGGTGCATCCAGAGCATGAGTGTGGCTTCCTGCCAGTGGGGATACCTAGAAAAGCTCATGGACCAATAGAATTTAAAGTATAAATTCATTTCAATGTAAAACTGTTTTTGAAATCTGCATAGTTTTTTTAAACATAATTGTTTTTCCACACATTATGAAAAACAAACATTTGTATGTTTAAAGGCAGAGCAGCAGGGGAGGGGGAAAGGGAGAAAAAGAGAGAGGATAAAAATCTTCCATCTGTTGGTTCACTGTCCAAATGTCCACAACATCTAGAGCTGGGCCAGGTGGACGCCAGGAGCCCAGGACTCCATAAGGGTCCTCAGGTGGCTGGGAGGGACTTGCTCCATCTTCTGCTGCTTTTACCAGGCCACTGGCAGGGAGCTGGATGGGAAGTGGAGAAGTGCTCCAGTGTGAGATGCCAACACCACCAGTGGTGGTTTGAGCTGCTGCACCTTGATGCTGGCTCCACCCCCACCCCCTCCCCCAAAAGAAAAAAATTGGCACCAAAATAAACGTCTACCTTTTTTGAAAAAATTATTTATGTCACTTACAAGTCAGAATTACGCAGAGGGGAAGAGACTAGAGAGAATCTGCCACCCGCTAGTTCATTCCCCAAATGATCACAGTGACCAGAGCTGACCAGAGCTGAGCCAATCCTAAGCCAAGAGCTAGCAGCTTCTTCTTTTTTTTTTTTTTAAAGATTTACTTATTTTACTACAAAGTCAGATATACAGAGAGGAGGAGAGACAGAGGAAGATGTTCTGTGCAATGATTCACTCCCCAAGTGAGCACAACGGCCGGTACTGCGCTGATCCGAAGTTGGGAACCAGGAACCTCTTCCGGGTCTCCCACATGGATGCAGGGTCCCAAGACTTTGGGCTGTCCTCAACTGCTTTCCCAGGCCACAATCAGGGAGCTGGATGGGAAGCGGGGCTGCTGGAAATAGAACTGGTGCCCATAATGGAATCCTGGTGCGTGCAAGGCGAGGACTTTAGCCGCTAGGCCAGGCCACCAGGCCCAAGCTAGCAGCTTCTTCCAGATCTCCCACATGGGTGCAGGGACCCAAAGACTTGGGTTGTCCTCTGCTGCTTTCCCACGGAGCTGGACTGGAAGTGAGGCAACCAGGAAATGAATTGATGCCCGTGCAGAATGTTAAAACTGCAGGCAGAGAATTAGCTTGCTACACCACTGTGCCGGCCCTGAAACTCATGCCTTTAATTCCATAGCAGTTATAGGTGTGTGCCATTAGCTGTGTGTAGCTGTGTGTGGATGTGTACACACAGGGGTGTGCGTGTGACCTCCGGCATGGCTGAGAATGCAGATGCACAGGGACACATGGGTGTGTGTGAGCATCTGCCGTGGCACATGCGCAGCTGGGCCCATCTCCCAGGGAGCAGGTGCCGGCGCAGAGTGAAGCCGTCTGTGCCGCTCCGGTGAGCAGGCAGATGGATTTCCCAGCATTAGCCGGATTTCCCAGGCTTAACACTGCAGCCATTAGGCCTTGCCCTGAGCCTTCCTGAGCAGGCTTCTCCACCATGTGGGGTTAGAGCTCAGCCAGGCTTGGGTGGGGGCTGGGAGGAAGCTCATCTGTGCGGTTCCCACAGGCTCTGTGGATCTCAGCCCACCAGGGAGACCCGGTGGAGACACAGAGATGGGTCTGGTATCAGGTCAGGGCACTGGTCAGCCACATTTACAGCTGCTACTCTGCCCTGTGCCACCCATCTGGGCCAGCTCTGCAGCCCCCTTCTCTGGTGCCTTCTGTGTCTTACGGCTGAGGGTGGGTGGCCCGACTGGCTGTGTAAAAGGCCTGTTGGTGGTGGGATCTGGGGGCTTGAGTGGTTCAAGGAGCCCTCAGGCTGTGTGCTGGGCAGGGAGAGCTGGCTCAGAGAGGGCATATGGTTCCCACTTTTGTGTCTTGTTAGCACAAAGGCTCCCTGCGCGTGCCACGAACAGCTGTGCCCATGCCACCCTCAGGGCTGACTACATCCTTGTCAGAGTGGTGCCCTGTGAAAGCCAAGGGCTCCTGGCTCAGGATTGACTCAGAATTTTAGATGGCAGCAGCAGGTGCATTAAACCAGGCATGCAGCCCTGCCTAGTCTCAAGCCCCTCCACAGTGGCACAGGATGTTGGCCCAGGATGCCAGCTCAGCCTGTGGTCACACTGGGGGTGGGGGCTCTCTTCCAAAGGAGAGGAAGCCCAGGGAGGAATGATGAAATGAAGACCTTGCCACCTAGTATCCTGAGATGTTGATGAAGAAGATGTTGAGAAGAGGGTAGAATATGAGAAAAGAAGACCCGGCCCCTACCCTCAGGGGCCACTGGATAAGGCCAGGGCCCCTGGGACTTCTGGGAGCAAATCCAGACTGTGTCCTGCACTGTGGGCAGTGCCAGAATGCAGGTGTCATGGCAAGGGTGATGATGGGAGAAAACTGGGGGTCAAGGAAGGCTTGGAGAAGGTGGCGCATCAGCCACAGCCCAGGGGAGGAGTCTCAGGACTAGGACCATCAGACTTGGAGACACAGTGCTTCTTGCTCCCCATGGCCACGCCTGGGTGGCACGGCCTGGGTCTCCCACAGCACCTTCTTTGCTGGCAGGGGTAAGAAGGGCGGTTGAGGCTGGGAGGACTAGAGGGAGGGAGACCGCGGGAGGGAAATCCCAGGGGGTGGGAATTGCCTGGCCCTTCCCAGCCTGGAAGGATGGATTATCCAACACCCAGATTAATGGGCTTTCATTTTGCTAAACATCTGTCACTGTTAGTGCTGGCGAGTGAGCATGAAATGAGCTCTAAGTGTGCTGCCACCGCCCAACCATGCTGGGTACCCGTGGGTCCCTGTACTGAGTCCTCTCTGCAAGGGGGTGGCACGTGGGGGAAAATGATGGTCTGAGGGAGGAGGTGGCAGCCTGGTCCCCAGGGGCTGTGGCGCCAACATGTGCCCCCCTCAGCCTCCAACCTGTGCTGGGGGCTGCCCCTGGCAGCTGCTTCCCCCACTGAGATGGCACTTAACAGATGCCAGGCATATCTGCCCCGATGTGCTAAACCACATGGCGCTCAGCACAACCAAACTGTCATGCCTGTGGTGTATATGGGAAAACTGGAGCCCAAGGAGGCCACTTGTCCAGGTTCTCACAGCTGGACCCAGGAATCCTGGTCTTAAGTCCCATCTTCAAACCATGACTCCTCCTGCCTGAGGCCAGGATGCAGCGGGTGGAGGGTCCCCACAGGTCTTTGTCTCCTGGTGGGTGCTGCACAGAGTTCCATCCCTGCCCCATGGGTGGGCAGAGCCAGACTGACTGCTGCCTCCCCGGCCCCTCCCCCAGCTGTACATCCAGACCACGACGCTGACGGTCTCGGTGAGTCTGAGCGCCTCCGTGTCCCTGGGGATGCTCTACCTGCCAAAGGTCTACATCATCCTCTTCCACCCGGAGCAGAATGTGCCCAAGCGCAAACGCAGCCTCAAGGCCGTTGTCACCGCTGCCACCATGTCCAACAAGTTCACGCAGAAGGGCAGCTTCCGGCCCAATGGTGAGGCCACCTCCGAGCTGTGCGAGAACCTGGAAGCCCCAGGTGAGTACTGGGCTCCCCTCCTTCCCCTCTGGGCCCACCTGGGCTCCCCCTTCTCCTTGGAGCAGGCAGAGGTGTCCACCTGAGCCGCATTGCACCCCTAGCCCTGTTGGGGAGCCCCAGAGGCTACAGGTGTGGCCCACACAGGATATGGGAGACCTGGGCCCTCTCGGTCCTGGGATCTACAGCTCGGACCTCTCAGCCCCTCCAGGAAAAGGGGTTCCATGGGAAGGCCCTGCTTCCAGCCCCTTGATTACCTGGGAGGGTGGCCCTGGTACCAGAGCCCCCGTAATACCCAGCTTGGCTTTGTCTGGCAGGCCCCTAGCAGGGCCCAGCAAGATGGGGCCCCAGGACTTGGGCCAGTCTGGGACAGGTGAGTGAAGGTATGGGGTAGGCGGAGGGGCCGCCAAAGGCCACAGCATAGGCAGCAATGTCCCCGGGAGGGTGTCAGGAGACATCAGCCACAGAGGGTCCTGCTTTGGCAAAGAGGCTCTGGGAAAGGAGGCAGGGACCTTGGTGTTGGAGGCCAGAGACTCAACTCAGTTACTGAGACAGCGTGTGGCAGGGCCACCCTGGCCTGGTCATCGCTGCTGCTGCCTGCTGCCTCCGTCCTCTTCAGATACACGAGAGTCTGCACCCTACGAGGAGCACTGGGATGTCCCAGTGTGTGGGGTGGGCCTCAGAGCCCACGTGCTTTAAGGGACCATACCTGCTGCCCCCTCCCACTCTGAGTCGTGGAGACTCTGCTGGTGGAAGGAGGGAGGAGAGCAGCGCCTCTCCTCAGAACTTCAGACCCCTCCTCTGGGGTGTTGGGGTAGGGAAGGCCCAGAGCCCAGCTCCAGGGTGTAGTCCCCATCCCTATAGTCCTAGAGTATGTTCCTTAGCTCCAGCTAAGGCCCAGAGAGGGTGAGCAGTCCTCATGAGCTCACACAGCAGGTGCTGACTGGCCGGTCCCAGCACAGGGTCTTTCTGTGGCTCCCTGGCCCTGCAGCATTCTCTGATGGACACCCTATGCCTCTGGTTGCCCTCCCAACCCTTGCCCCTGAGAATTCAGCTTCTCTCCTTCCAGATCACCAGTTCTTCCCACCCCCAGTCCTCGCCCTCCCGAGATGACATGGAGGGCAGGGCCCTCCCAGACTAGCCCCTCTGCCTGGGTGTCCCGAATCCCCAAGAAAGCCTTCACTTGGTACCTTTGTTATGAGCGGGGCTGGCCGGTGCCCACTCTTCTCTTTGGGGTCCCACCGTCTGCTGGCTGGGGGCAGCCCTGCCGCATGCGTATTGCCTGGCTCTGCTGAGAGCTGGTCGGCCCCAGTGCCTTCCAGCACTCACACCTGACCCCACAGGCCACACCCAAAAGGAATGGTGGAGGGCTGGGCCTTCCCCAAGGCCAAGGTCAAGGCCCAGGCCAAGGAGGAGGGGGTGGGCGTGCCATGGGAGTGCTGGGCGATGAATCTGGGGGCAGCAGACTCCAGGGATTGTGCTTGGGAAGAGCGGGAGGTATCACTCCTGGGAATAGGGACATTTTTCACTCTGTCACTGGCAGGCCACGTATCTTTAAATAAACAACAGAATAAATAATTTAGGGGGCTGATTGCCAGCAGATTCGGTGTACAGACAGCAAGCGACAAATGAGGGCTGTCAGCCTGCGTGTCCCTGCCCAGCCAGCCGGGACTGAGAACCGGCTGGGAGGGCCTCTCAGAAACAGGGGATGGGGAAATGGCCCTCTGGCCACACCCTGGGCACTGTCTTCTGAAGCTGGCCTGGCCTGGCCTATGGCAGGTCTGGTTGCTGCACCCAGCTGTTCACAGCCTTCTTTGGCTGGGAGCCCATTGGGGGCTGGTTTTTCAGGAGGGAATAGGGGCTATGGGAGACTCCCTTGAATGGGAAGAGCCACCGGGCAGGGGCTGAGGCAAGGGCAGGCCTCTCGATCCCTGGAGCTGGCTGGAGCTCTTCCTGCGAGCCTCCCTACTGGCCCTGGTCAACTCATCACTCGCACCCCCATTTCTCAGGCTGGGAGACTGAGGTCCTGCCACAGAGCAGGGCTTGGGGTCCCTGCCTTGAGGTTTGCCAGTCCCACCCACCCTTGGAGCCCGAGGTCACTGCCAGCAACCCCATGGCTTCCTGCGGTTACTAAGAAATCCGGCCCAGTGCTGAGCCGGAGCTGCTGCAGAGGTTCACAGGTTTAGAAACTCAATTTTATCGGCTCAGCCAGGGGGTGGTGGCGCCCTGGGAGCCAGTTCTCACCAGCCAGGCCTGCAGGCAGCTGAGCTGCTGCCTGCTCTTTTTCACTGCCTGTAGGTCTGTGGGGATTGGAGGTGTTAGATGTAGGGATCTTCCCAGGAGACAGTGGTCCAGACCCACAGGCCTCTCCCTTGTGCTCCAAGGCAGAGAAACTGCAGTCCCACAGAGAGCCTGGGGTCCTGGAGGGAGCGTGGGGCCTCCCTCAATGGGCTTCAGAGCTCCAGAACCTTCTTCCTGGGCTCTGCCAGCATGTACCCTACCATCCTGGGGTACCCTGCCTCCTTTGCCTAAGGGCACCCAGATCCTGCCAGCCCGTTTCCCAACCGCTGCTGACTACTCACACCCCAGGGGTCCGGAGTGTTTTGGAGATAGAGGCAGGAGCTTCTGCACCCATGAGGTTTCCTCCTTACCCTTCTCCTAGATGCCCCCTGGTGCCCATCCAGGTGGCACCAAAACCTAGATGGATCTTCCTTTGCCTGTAGACTTGTCTGGACAGGGCACTCCATACCGCCTACAGCCACCTCCCTGGTCAGGTCGGGGTGGGCCGGGAGGAAGTCCTGTGAGCCCAGCTATACTCTCATCCTGGGGACTCCCCACAACAAGCCTCTCTGCATGCCCCGTGCCCAGCAGCTACACTTCCTCCACACCTGATGGATGCCCATGGGTAGCATCTCCTAATGCTGCCATAGCAGAGATGTCCCAAGAGGAGCAGCTTGGCTCAGACACAATGATCTGTAGGGGTGGGGGCATCGTTTTAATTAAAGGTCACAGAGGTTGTGCTCTGAAGGAGTGTGGTCATGTGAGGGCCTGCCTAGCTGCAAGGGAAGCCGCACCTCGGTGGTCACATGGGCTGCAACCTGCAGACCAGGACCCTGCCCCCCTCCCGCTTCTCCAGGCCAGATGCCCCCACTGAGCATCCTGACCGTGCCCCCTCTGTCGTGCCAAGACCCTGAACAGGGGGTGGGGGCAGGTGTGGTTTTCTCCCATTGATGGTTGCAGTCTCGCAGTAGCCCACTGGCCTCAGCTGAGGTTACCACATTGCTCCTGACACTTCAGGTCTACTGATCCTTCATGCTGATGGGGACAGGAGACACCAGGGGCCACTCAGAGCTGCCCCTCTGGCCTTCACAGTTTGTTATCTGTCAAGTGTAGGTCTCCTAGGCCCTCTCACTTCACACCACCTACGGGACCTGATGTTGTTACCTGGGAGACCTGGCCCTGGGCATGGCCTGGGAGAGGACCAGTGACCGGGAACTGAGAAATGCCCAGACAAGCCAGGTGCTCCCAGCTGTGGAATAAGGAATGGTGGGTGCAGATGGGAAGGGCACATCAGGAAGGACAAAGGAGACTCAGGGCTCACAGACTTGGTTTCCCCTGGGCCTGGGCCAGAGGCAGAGGGTCAGGCCTGCTGTGGTGTGTGCTTCCGGGTCTGGCTGACCAAGGTCCTTCTTGGTGTTCCTGAGCGATTCCCTGTACTTGTTCCCCCACCTTACCAACCACCAGCCCAGCGTGTTCTTCCCCGCGGCATGTGGCCAAGCTTCTGGAATGCTCAAAGGTTGTATAATGAGACCACAGATAAAGAGCAGGCTGGACCACCGCCGTGGGGGGCTCTGGCTGAGGGGCAGGGTCCGGGAGTGAATGCCCAGAGGAGATGAGGCAAAGGGGAGGGGCACTCTGGATGCCCAGGCAAAGGCATGGAGGGGGCCAGGACAGCTGGACAAGGTGTTTGTGCGGGGATGCGGGGTGTGGAAGGGGGCAGCCTACATCGGGGAGGGGAGAGAGGAGGGCCACGCAGGTGTGAGTACAGAACAATGCGATGTGGGGGCGGATGATCCAAAAAGGCCTGTCCCTGACTCCTGGCCACCCCTGGTCTCTCCCCTTCCAGCACTGGCCACCAAGCAGACCTACGTCACCTACAGCAACCACGCAATCTAGTGAGGCCACCGGGGCCGAGCAGCAGGAGCGACAGCAGCCCTTGGGGAAGTGTGCCCAACCGGGGCCTCCCCAAGGGCCCAGCTGATGTCCCCGCCTGCCCGTGGGTGCCCACGGACGTGGCTTGGTGCTGAGGACAGCCGAGCCTACACACCCCTACCCCCACCCCTGGCTGTCACTGCGAGGCAGCCTAGGCAAGCTGAGTGGGTGGCAAGAGGAGGGCGAAGGGCTGGGCAGCTCCAGGCCACTGCGGGAGCCGGCACCAAGGATCATTGCCCTTCGTGGCTCTGAACAGGAGGGGCTTGGGTGGAGGGGTCCCCATACTGCTGGTTTCTTCTGCCTCCGTCTCCGTGTGCCCTACTGGGGACCTTCTCTCTATGTTGGGCTCCATCCCTGTCTTCGCATTCTGTCTTCTGTCTGTCATTTTTGATCTCTGTGTCCACCTGCTTGGGTCCTCCTCCTCTCTGTCCCCTCGCCCCAGGTCCCTGCTCTGCAGCCCCTCCTGCTGCTTTCTTGGGGTCTCCTCCTATGTTCTTCCCCTCATGTTTTTTTTTTTCTTTCCCATTCTCTGACTTCATTTTTGTCCAGCCTTTGCCTCGCTCACCCTGCCCTCTTCACCAAATCTTACTTGTTGCAAAAATGAAAAAAAAAAAAAAAAGGAAAAAAAAAATCAAAACACACACAGAAAAGCCAAAACAAAACCCAATCTTGAGTGTGTTGCAAAGTGCTGCGTCCTCCCGGTGGCCTGTGTGTGTGTCCTGTGGCCCGCAGCCTGCCCGCCTGCCCTTGCCCGTTGGCCATGTGTCCTGCCCGCCTGCCCGCCTGCCCCTCCCGCCGACGACACGGAGTTCAGTGCCTGGGTGTTTGGTGATGGTTCCTGATGACAATGTGTAGCGCATGATTGTTTTTATACCGAGAACATTTCTAATAAAAATAAACACATGGTTTTGCACTCTGGCTCCATGAGTACTGAGGGCCACAGGGCCACACATCCAGCCTGTATCTGTGTGGAGTGGGGAAGGGGTGATGGAGATGGAGGTTGGCTGGCTGCCAGAGGCTGTTGCCTTGACTGGGATCCCCTGGCTTGGATCTTCTGCTCTTGTGGGGAGGGCAGGGAGGCACCAGGTGTTCAGGTAAGTGGTAGAGGACATTGTAGAAAATTCCAGAGATCTGCACTTGATGGTCCCTGAATTAAGGAAGATGTCCTGTTCCCTGCCTTGCAGCCCACCCTGCCTCACCCCTGGGGTCCATCCTGACTCTATACCCTTCTCTTGCTTGTCTGGTTCTGGGGCCGAGTGCTGAGATAATGTGTTGGCCGTGGTGAGCAGTGTGTGATCCCCAAGGACACAGCCCACGCGTGATGTGTGTGTATACACCTGGCACCTCCACGTGCATCTGAGGGAATGTCTGCGGGACACTGCCTAGGCCCGAGTGGGTGTGAGCCCACATCACACCCACGTCACGAGGCTGCAAGTGTGTGAACATGTGTTCCGCGCTCAGTGCAGCTGGCCTCCTTGGCAGGTTGGGAAGTAGAGGGTGGGGAGCAGCTTAGGGCTGGGCTCTGCCAGGGTAAATTATAGCACCAGCCTCGACACAATGAGGTCACGTGTGTGCGGCAGCTGGAACCCCCACTCTCTGTACCTCCCCATCCTGTCCCACCCGTGCCTGCCCCCTGGTCTCCATCTAACCCGCACCCCCCAAACACATAGCAAGCTGATGAATCTGGGGGACCCTGGGCAAGAAGCTGGGTGTGAACTGTTTATAGTGTTAAGGTTGAACGTGGCGTAGTGCCAAGAGTTAGAATCCCCTTGGTCAGCCCCCTGACTCCTGGGGCAGGGGAGGCCTTACCTGTGGTCAGGTAGGTGCTCTCGCCACCCCCAGGTCTGTGTATAGTCTGCACCTCCTTGTTCAGGGGAGGAGCTTCACGTTCGTTGTCCTGTTGCAGCTGGTCCCTAAGTCCTCCACCCATGGAGAGTCCACCTGCTACAACCCAGTCAGGGAAGCTGCCAGATTAGTGTGAGGGAATGCAGAGTACACGGATCCCAACCCCACAATTTCCTGGGAGATTCTCCAACCCCCAACCTGGCATGTTGCCCCTCCCTGATGTGCCCTCCCCTGGCTCTTTAGCTGATGGATGTTCTGTGGCCCAATGCTAAGGAGGGTGCCTGGCCTGGAGCTGAGGGTTTAGGGGCTCAGCCTGGACCTTGTCCAAGTGCTTCCAACACGATTGGATTCCCATCTAGGTTCTGGGGGACGTCACCCTTTATCCCAAGGGGAATACTGCCTAGGCTGGGAGGGGACCATGTTGGTGGCAGGGCTTACCTGCTCCAGTTTGCTTGCAGCCCTGAGAGGGGCAGGGGTGGTCAGACCCTGACTTCAGAGCCAGTGCATCGGAGATGGTGAGTGCCTGACACTGCTGGTCTAGGCAGGGCAGGGTTGAGTAGAAATACCTTGGGTGATGACTTGAGTTTGCAGAAGCTAGGCCTGAGGGCAGGGACTGGCAGGGCCTGTAGGTCTGAGGTGGGCAGGCAGGGCCCTGTAACAGCAGAGGGGGAGGTGGGCATCGCAGGAGTCTGGGCCCATCCTCCCTCTAAGACCCAGAGTGATGGGCTGCATGCTAGTCAACTGTGGGCTGAACACACGCCTGGGGGCTGAGGAAGCCAGGAGAGGGAGTGTCCGTGCCCACGCCTGGGCTGCTGCCTGGGCAAGGAGCCACCCAGCTTGGGGCTCCATTCACTACTGAAGTGCAGGGGAGACTGAGGCCTTGCCTGGGTTTGGAGGCCTCTTTGTCCTCCTGTCTGCCCTGTGCCACCCTGGCCATCTCACAGCTCTGGCCCTGGCACTCTGGGCCTCACCAAGGCTTGGGCCTGTCCTGCAGCTGCCAGCCCCCGGCACTGACTGGCACTTGGTGCCAAAATCTCACTTCAAGTTGGCAAAAGCAGCAATTAGCATCTAATGAGGCTTCTTGCTTTATTTTTAGGTAACCTCCGAGGCCCTGCCTCTGTAATTCAGCCCGCCATTGCTTGGTGGATAATTAAAGCATGTCATCATAATTTGCCTTTTTTTTTTAATATAAAGCTCTGTAATTATGTTTTTATTGCAAGTGGGGTGGGGAGAAGTGTAGGAGAAAAGAAAACAAAGAGAGGAGGGGCAAGAGGGAGGCCAGGAAATGGGGGTTTGCTCCACCCCGCTGGCCTGGCTCCTCCTCCCCTCCCCCTGCTCCAGGGAGCTGGGAGCAGGGAGCAGAACCTGCCCTAGGTCCCTCCCGAGGGCCTCTCCACTTCTCCTCCCTGTCCCAGTTTGCTTCACTGTAACCAGTGGACAGGGAAGGTAGAGCTGAAACCGGAGCAGCTGCCACGTGGGAATTCTTCACGCTATTCCCCTCCTGCATTCCTGGGAAATTTCCATCATGAAAAGTAAATAAACTTCCCCTGCCAGGCCGGGTCTGCTGCTGCAGGGCGCCCAGCATCTGCTCCCCGGCAAAGAACTGACTGTGGGAGCCAAGGAGAAGTGTTCCCACCCTTCCTTTGGCTCTGGCCAGCAGTGGTGGGTGATTCTGTCCCAGCATCTGAAATCAGCCTCTCTAGCCTGCTGGGAACTTGCGGAATGGCAGCTCACGGTTTGGGGAGGCACTACCCCAAATATCTTCCCTAAATTCTGTGGATGAAACTTCAGACCACTGGGCTGTGGTGTGCCTGCCCCCAGCACAGCCAGGGGATGCAGTGAAGTTGAAGATCAGAGCACCAGGACTCATGAGAATTAGAAGACCTTTCCAGGCCAGTTCAATCCAGCAGGCGTCCCCACATAGCTTCTGAACAAGCTCCGTAGCCTGCCATTGCACCGGGCATCAGGTGGCCACTCACCATCATCACCCCACCCCAGCATCGGCCGTGCAGGGAAGGGCCAGCCGGCTGCTGATGAAGGGGTCTCCTGGAGGTACTTGCTGGGCTGCAGGCCCTCTCGCAGCACCCTGCTCTGTTTGAGACCCTGTTCCCAGTTTCTTCACTTGAACTTCCCAGGCAAATGAAGTGTAATGTGCAGACGTGGGTCCCATTAGGACCCAGGAGACTGGAGTCCTAGGGACGGCTGTGTGACTGACTAGCTGTGCCCACTGGGCACACAACATTCCCTCTGGCTCGGAGTCTTCATCCTGAAAATGAGGGGCTATGCTCTGAGTTCCTGGGCCTGGGGAAGCAGCCAGCATCAGAGCAGAACAGAAAGGGAGGTAACTGCAGAGAAGAATCTTTGGGGCCAGTTGCTATGACAACTGGGCCCACAATAAGGGGTAGGGGTAGGGACTGAGTATGCAAATAGGACCGTTGGGTTCTTGGGGGCCCTAGATGTCAGTGGATGTTAGGGTGGCAGGGTGGGGCCTGCCGGCCCCATCTGCCATCCACCCTTCATGGACAAGGTGAGGAAGACCTGGAAGGAAATGGGCTAAACTGGGGCCATTTACCACCCTCCAGCATGCAAGGAGCATGGCCTTGTGCTTCATGGCCTCGTGTTTTGTGGAGGTGGACAGTGAAGGGGCTGGGCAAGACCAGGGAGGCCTGGGAGAGATATTCCTCTGATCTTGATTGGCTACCTCCCTCCACCTGGAGTGCTAGGGGTATGTTCTCCTGAGCCTGCAAGATGCCTTTTGAGTCCAATCTGTTCAAGTAGACGACTGCCCAGTGAGTGCAGGATGGGGGTAGGGCTGACGGTAGAAGCCCTGGATCTGGTGTCTGCCTTCAGCACAGGAACCTGCTAGCTGTCCAGATGTGAGTTTCTGCTTCTCTCAGACAGATCTCAGAACATCTGATTTTCAGCCAACAACGTCACTGCAAGGCTACGGGAGGCAGGGAGAGGACAGGAGTCCACCCTGGAATTTGGTGGCTCCTCCCCTGCCGTGAGGCTCCTCCCACTCCTCTCCCTCTGACTGCGGCTTGGCCTGCCTTTCTTCCACCGCCCATCCCCTCTCCAGGTCCCCGGTCCTTGAATTCTTTGCTTTATCTGTGTCAAAC